CAGCCACCTAATTAGGTGGCTGTTAGGTGGCTATTTGCTCCCTAGGGACGAAAAAAAGGATGTCTCAAACATCAGGAAATAGCATGAAACGTCCAAATGGACAATCAAATTTTAGGGTCATAAGGGTCAAAAAATTAAAATTTCAGGATCATAAAGATTGAACTTTTTGAACCAAAAAAGAAGACTCTTAAGGGATAGGAAATGGCATGCCATGTCGAGATCTGGAATAAAATTTTAGTCATAAGGATCATAAAGGTCAAAATTTTATTGTTATGAGGATTTCAGGGTCATAAGATTCAAAATTTTTTGAACTAAAAAAAGGGTGTTTCAGACGATGAGGAATTTCATGGAACTTCTAAATCTTCAGTCAAAGTAGGGTGACAAAATAGGTTCACAAGATTAAAAACTTGAGGGTCATGCGGATACAAAGATGAAAGTAACCCGGTGGCTTTTGGCGCAGTGGGTGAGTTCGTTGCCTCACATACGAAAGGTTCCAAGTTCAAATCCCGGCCAGGTAGAATGGTGTGATCTAACCATTTAAAGTCTTGATCATTATCGCAGTATACCCTAACCGGGTCGAAGCGATGTGAAATAACAATAAAAAAAAAAAAAAAAAGATGAAAGTGTATTCAGTTTTGCCCATCATTGGATAATAGTAGGCTTTGTAAACAGGGATCCACTATTTTTAGTATTAAAGCACTATTAATGCACCGACAATAATTTTTATAAGACTTTTATGATTTTTGTGTTGAAATGATAGTAAATCAATGAGAAACCCATCCGAATCGTCCCCTTGTGAAACTAATGGGACTAGATACTTGAAAGATTTCATCAGTGTGGTACGCTGAAATTTTTCTAGTTTTTGTTTATGTCCTTTCTTAATTTCTGTGTTGCGTTATGGTTTTCATCTCATGTCTCTGAATCTATGCTCAATATCTCATAAACATGAATATCATTGAAATAATTCCTTTCCAAACCACAAACAAAACAGCATTCAGTTAATTATAACTATTAAGGAAATAGACTGGGAAATAGGAAATTTGTCCTCGCAAAGTTATTATTGCGAGCTATTATTACAGTGATAATTGAATGGATTCAATCAGTAGTGAAAGAATAGAACAAGATGTATCATTGTAATCCGAAAATTACTCTTTAGGCGATATCTCGGAATGCAAGAGATATTTTTGTAGATTTCGTCTTATATACCACAAGAAAAATCTTTACCAAAAAGTGCTATTTTGCTTTGATCCTGAGATCTTGTGAAAAACTAATTGAGAACTAAATTTGAAAATCATTTTTTTATAAATATTGTTGAAACTGCGCTAGATGGAAAACTTTTCGCGAGAGTTTTTTTCTGTAGATCTCATTCTGTTCTACAAAAAAAATTTTACAAACATTTGTCTATCTTCTTAAAATTCCTAGATATTTTTGAAAACTAAGTTTGTGGGGGGACTAAATTGTATTTTTCTCTCTATTTCACCTTTGAATTCTTTAAAGCGAAAGAATTGAAAATAGGTGTTGTTTAGGATATTTTCTGAACTTTACGATGAAAAAAAAACTTTTTGAGTTTTTAATAACGATATTTGCCTCGAAAATGGTTTTCATTTTTTTTTATAGTAGATGATAATTACAATTTAAAAAAAAGTTTTTAGAAGAAAAAAAATTTTTTTCAATAACTGATAGCTTATTTTCAACTATACTTTTCGATAAAAAAATTGAAAAAACTTTCAAAATTTGAAGGCCATCCTTTATATACAGAATTGGCGAATTCGCTCACATCCATTGCTTCATTTTATTCACAAAATCAATGAAATGCCGTCGGCTCATCTCCATTTTCAGTCAATTATTCAGTAAAATAAGTATTAAGAAAAAGTGTTAGACCAAGTGCATTACACAGTGTAGATCGTGATTCCAGGAATTGAGATTGGATAGATATCATCGCACGTGTGCGACAAATTTTTTTTTTAACTTTTTTGAATTTCACTCGTTGGGCTCTCGTACACACGAGGCGCTTCTTTCATTTTTAAACATGCAATTCCAGTCAATTTGCCTATCGATCCACGCAGCTGTCTCACGCGTCACACTATATACAGTGGTAGTTCCTAGCATCCATATCCAACAAGATTCATAGTTTTGTACGGTTCTTCGTTATACATATCCCAGTGTATGGCACTCTTCTTGCTTCCTAGCTCAGACAATACTTCTCGCTTGATCACTGACGTGTGATCTGTAGTCGTAAGTTCTAGGACCAATGCTATCAAGAGGAGAATAATGGACTGCACGGAGATAAATTTTCTAGAAAAATTCTAGTGCTAGCATGGTAAAAGGGGCTCAAAGTGACGGCCAGGGAAAAACCCCAAGGCTGCCATTGAAAATTTTATTGAGTAGCACGTCAATTGTTCTCGTGCTTGAATAAATTTTTCACTGCAATCCGCATCAATTTTACCAGAAAAACCTAGAAATTTTACCTTAACAACGCTAGAGTTTTTCATAGACGGTAGGTTGAGATTTTTGCCAGTATTCATACTCGAATTTTCATAAAAAATTTCTCTCCGTGTATCGTCTTACAGACACCCAAAAATCTCATTAAAAGGAAACAAGATGCTTTCTTATCCGTAAGGGACTTCTCTTCTCTTCCAACAAAAGATACCAATTTCTTGGAAGAGTCGGAAGATAAAACAAGGTTTTCAATTCTTTCAAATAATAAGCCAACTCAAATACCAATTGATGAATGAACTCATTCCAAGAAAGACCATTTCTTAGAATGGAGAAATTAAGTATTTTCCAGTATATGCCATGTCATTAACCTTTTTGACGTTATTATCTTGTTTATCTCAAATGTCTAGTCACCCTCCCGTGAATTAGCTAAGGTGGTGGAAACTAAATAAAATACTCTTGGAATGTATAGATTTGTATCTCTGGATAGTAGGACCGTTTCTTCCTGGAAGTAGACCGCCAATTACACAGACACACTGCTCTTACATCATCTCTTCACGTTACGTTTTTCGGTGATAGTGGTGTATTGAACGATATAGGTAATATATCACCGTGAAGGAGATTGAACGAGAGTGTGGGATACAACAGGAGCAACGCCACCAAGCCCCGTAGGAATATCGCAGAATACCCTTCCCGCTTCTGAAATACTTCTTTTTCTTTATCGCCCAATTTTCCATTGCACCGTCTTCGTTGCCGGAAAATATGAGTGGCAATTATCGATATGGTAAGTATATTGGCAACTCCTTTACTGCGGAATCAAATCAACGCCCCAGTGTGATAATCTGTGTACGCACAATTATCATTAGAGATGTGTTTTTCCCATTTGTCCGTAATTTTCATGAATTGACTCTGAATATCAATGAAAAATTACAAATAATCATGCTATTTGTGAATTGAAGAATTTGATGAAGCTATTCAGGTGACCGAGGGCCCATGCCTATTTCCTACAATTTGATTTTCAAACAATAAACTATTCACGATGACGTCTGGTATGTACAGGGTGACAAATGGCAATAGGTGAAAATTAAACTATCATAGTTTTGTTGATTGATGTAGGAAAGGAAGGACCATCATGTTTGTAGACACAATAGACTTTGCAAATTTATTTGCAATTAGTTAGAGTTGCATTTCATTGTATTAAAAATAAAAATTCACACGGTGAAAGAATTGATCAAACACATTCGCGGACATATGACTAATGGGAAATACTCTCGAAGTGTCCTCCATCAGAATTTGCGCAATAGTCAAGGCGTTTCTAAAAACTATGAAAGACTTCTTCAATTTTAGCTTCAGAAATATTAGAAACACNGGTGACAAATGGCAATAGGTGAAAATTAAACTATCATAGTTTTGTTGATTGATGTAGGAAAGGAAGGACCATCATGTTTGTAGACACAATAGACTTTGCAAATTTATTTGCAATTAGTTAGAGTTGCATTTCATTGTATTAAAAATAAAAATTCACACGGTGAAAGAATTGATCAAACACATTCGCGGACATATGACTAATGGGAAATACTCTCGAAGTGTCCTCCATCAGAATTTGCGCAATAGTCAAGGCGTTTCTAAAAACTATGAAAGACTTCTTCAATTTTAGCTTCAGAAATATTAGAAACACCCTTCTGGATAGCGCTTATCAGAGCCTCTTTTGTCTGAGGATTGTCCGCGTAGCAGAAGTCTTTGAGATAACCCTACAAGAAAAAATCACACGGGTTCAAATGCGGTGAGTATGGTGACCATTCCATCCCTGCTCGGGCGAAGCGAGGATACCCTAAGCCGATGCCGCGATCACCATATACTTTGTGCAATGCAGCAAACACATCATCAGTTCGATGAGGTGTTGCACCATGTTGCATAAAATGGAAATCTTTCACCAATCCTTTTTTCTTAGCGAATGGATAAAATTTGGTTTCCAACATTTCTCGGTAACTCTCCCCTGTAATGGTCCCTTCCAAGATTTCCACATGTATTTGTTTGATCGACAGAGCTGTCCAAACTGTAACTTTAGTAGGGTGGAGCGGTTTTGCTACTGATGAATGTGGATTTTCACTCCCCCAAAATCGATAATTTTGTTTATTCACGTAACTATTAAGGTAGAAATGAGCTTTATCCGTGAAAATAATTCGATTGGCTTCGATTTCAGCAATTTTTAAATATTTGCGTATAACCCTACCGCATCAAACGTAGGGTCTCTCGGTTCAATTCTAACTTCACAGCCGCCTTACGTATTGAATCAATTCGATGATTTTTAAAATGTTTTTCCACCTTGTCCACTACTTCTTCCGTCGTTACTGTATAAGATGGACCTGGAAGATCATGGCGACGATCCTGCAGGGTATCATAGTTAACAAAATTATCAATTACCCTATACGCCTCTGTCGCACCTTCCGATTCCGTGGAAAGCGCCGCGTAGTGGTGAAAAATTTAAACACTGGGGTGTGCTGAAGTTGACAGCTGTACGGAGTTCTGATTGTTTTCATTATTTTGTAATGAAAATAATTACAGAAAAGGTGTGCACTGAATATTTAGGACTAAATAAATAATAAATATGAGAAATGTGATTATCTCTTGTGGTTTTCAGAGCGTATCGACCGTTTACGCAAAAAATCACTCTCAAAGGGTGAGTTATTTTTATTTGGGTATTCATTATTAAATAACATTATCCCGAATATTTTTGTCAATGTTTCGTAGATCTTATATGTTGAAAACATAAATAGGTAAATCCATTGATGAATATTCAAAATTATCTAAGGTTTCGTTACTTATTTAAAGCAGGTAAAGGACTTTTCAAAAGTCTTTTTGTGGGAGATGTTCGAGAAGAAATTGATGGAAAAAATCGAACCATTTATGGTAGTGTGCGATCTCAAGTCAAAGTTAATTAGGATAAGTATAATGTCAAAGTGGAGGTAGGCATCTTAAGAAAATAACAATTGATTTGGTTGTTTATTGATTTGTTGGTATTTCGATTTTGCAAACGTGCAGCTCTCCGTTCATCCGGTGGTTTCCGTCCATAAATACTAGAAAAAATTGATGGAATATAAGCTGGCTCGTGCATATTTTCTGATTTTTTACCACCAACGAAATGTGTACTACATACTCGTGCCTCCGCGCTTGCAATCCAAGGCGTACCATCCGGATTTCTGGGAAATTATTTTGAAACTCAGATTTTCACGTATGAAATAATTACACAACTATTAATGACACATTCCACCAATTACTGATGAACGATCCAGTTTGTAATTTTTTAGTTGAGTGAAAATTTTGCCACTCTTTAGAAACATTGAAAAAAGCAGTCTCCTCCTACATTTTTAGCCTTCTATCTCATGCAGTCTACTAAAAAACCACTCATATTTACTATTTTCCTATAAAAATTTCAACTAATTAATTGATTATTGTTCAAAGATTCAATTTTCGGAAAAAAAAAACCTACGAATGCTCTGGCGATATACTAAAATGGTCGATTTTTGTGGCAAATTTCGTTGGTTTTTTAACTCGCGCCTAGAAAATTAGAATTTTTTATATTTTTATATGGGAATATGGGTTTCTGGCAAAAATTTATTGAAATTTCAAGGTGTGCTGAGTATTAGGACATGTGGAATCAAATTTTGAACTTCAAAAATTTTCAAACTTCCAGATTTCGTGGATACTTTTAAAAAGATTTCCTGTTTAAATTTTGGTTATGTACACAAAAGTCTAGAAGTTACATTCAAACCAAAAATTTACTTACAATTTTCACGTACTTCAAAATTTTTGAAAATGTTTGCAATTCAAAATTTGATTGTGCGTGTCCTAATGCTTAGCACAGCGCAAAATTTTAATATCTTCTTGCCAGAAACCCATATTTTCTGATAAAAAAAAAAATATTAATTTTCTGGATGCCAGGTAGGAAACCACCGAAATTTGACACAAAATGTCATTTTAGATCATTATAATATGGTGTTAGAGCATTTGCATTTTTTTCACCAAACTTCTACCATTTTTCTTGAAAAAAGCATCTATGTATTTTTCGAGTAAAACTCACTCAATATACGTGAAAAATTAATTAAAATCTTATCAGGCAAACACTGGATATAGGTGTTCTCGTGGACTGGACCAGATAAAAAGCTAAAAGTTCAGAAGACGTTTTTCACTGTCCCTGAAAAGTGGAAAAATTTTGTGTCAAATAAAAAATTACACGCTGGATCGTTGGTCGATAATTGGTAGAATGTGCCAAATATACTCATTTTCAATTATATGTGAACAATCAATAACCATTAGGATGTTGACAAATTAATTTTTGAAATAAGGAATAATTTCACTTACATGCGTTTGACAGCTGCAATCCATTTTTCCTTTCGTTCTTTTTCATACTTTCTCCTCGGAAATCGATAAAATTTTAATTCTGGATTCTTAGCTTTAGTATTGTGACATCCGACAACGCTACACATTCGGTTAGAACCCACAATTTTATCCATTTCAACGATTAAAAAATGCCGTATTACATACACAAAGTCATGCGGGCCCAACTGATGCGCACCTCTGTGCCGTACTTTTCTGCCGCCTGATGGCGCGTCAAGCAATGCGACAGAGGCGTATAAAAAAGAACACATTGACTCAAAAAATTTATTGGGGATTAACCTAAAAAAAATTTTTACAGGAGAACTAAAAAATTCCTACCGTTTAAAAGTGGTTTCACTCTCAATTCTGACTACCAAACTTACTACGAAAGCCTCTATACACATTTGTGTAATTTTATCCTCGGGAATAATAGCACTCAATGAGATACATTTTTTCTTTGACAGTAATAAGCTCACTCATTTTGGGGAATATGAACCTGACCCCGGAGTGTCCCAACAGAGTTTGCCAGGCTCCAAGTTTTAACCTACAACAACCCGATCCCTAGTCATAAAGTGGAGAAGGAAATATAGGGGAAAAGTTTTCACCTATACTTATTTGTCACCCTGTACATGTGCTAGAGGTGTCATCGGAGATTTTTTTTTTAGAAATTCTTCGTTCAATCATAGAGCAGGTATGAGTCGATGATCGAATAAGCAAAAGAATAAAAAGTGTGAAAAATTAATCATTCTTATCATTTGGAACGTCCAATATCCCGAGAAGATATTTCACTTCAGAAGTGATTATTCTTTTCACAAGAACATGTTTTATTCTCCCTGTCATATCATTTTTTAATGGAGAAGTCCCACTAAGATCATAATGACAGAAACGCGCGTGGCACATCAAGAGTCCTTATGATTAAAGGAGCAAGGCGTTTTGTATTTGTTTTTCAGTTATCGAGAAAAAATAAATCGATTTGTTTTTTTCTCGATGAATGACGAAAATAATCGATTGTATACCAATCGATTGTGGTGACAGTTTCTCTCAGTTGTTTTTGTCAGAAGTTAGCCGAGGAAAAATACGAAAAGAAATTCCCACGGAAAAAAGTGTGAGAATATTATTATAGGAGTGTGAGAATATTATGGGAGAGAAGAAATATCGATGTGTATTTTAATCAGGGACTGAGAGTGTGCTCCCGCTCCCACTCCACTCTTTGGCCAAAGAGTGCTCTTTCAAAGAGCGCTCTTGCAAAGAGTGAAAAGAAGAGTGAAATGTCGGGAGCGCTCTTTCAAAGAGTGAAAAGAAGAGTGAAACGGCGGGAGCGATCTTTCAAAGAGTGAAAAGAAGAGCGAAATGTCGGGAGCGCTCTTTCAAAGAGTGAAAAGAAGAGTGAAACGGCGGGAGCGATCTTTCAAAGAGTGAAAAGAAGAGCGAAATGTCGGGAGCGCTCTTTCAAAGAGTGAAAAGAAGAGTGAAACGGCGGGAGCGATCTTTCAAAGAGTGAAAAGAAGAGCGAAATGTCGGGAGCGCTCTTTCAAAGAGTGAAAAGAAGAGTGAAACGGCGGGAGCGATCTTTCAAAGAGTGAAAAGAAGAGCGAAATGTCGGGAGCGCTCTTTCAAAGAGTGAAAAGAAGAGTGAAACGGCGGGAGCGATCTTTCAAAGAGTGAAAAGAAGAGCGAAATGTCGGGAGCGCTCTTTCAAAGAGTGAAAAGAAGAGCGAAATGTCGGGAGCGCTCTTGCAAAGAGTGAAAAGAAGAGTGAAATATCGGGATCGCTCTTGCAAAGAGCAAAAGTGGGAGCGAAATGGCGCAAGAGCGCTCCCATCATTTCCCTTTCNTTCAAAGTTTTAGGCAGAAGTTAATACTATCAGGGACTGAAAGTGCGCTCCCGCTCCCGCTCCACTTTTTGGCCAAAGAGTGCTCTTTCAATGAGCGCTCTTTCAAAGAGTGAAAAGAAGAGCGAAATGTCGGGAGCGCTCTTTCAAAGAGTGAAAAGAAGAGCGAAATGTCGGGAGCGCTCTTGCAAAGAGTGAAAAGAAGAGTGAAATATCGGGATCGCTCTTGCAAAGAGCAAAAGTGGGAGCGAAATGGCGCAAGAGCGCTCCCATCATTTCCCTTTCCATACCTTTTTTTCTATTATGCAATACACTTTTTAATTTGCAATTTATCGAGACCTAATTTTTTTCTTTTCACCAAAATCATTTGTTGGAAAAAACAAACATACACGATGCCCCAATTGGGGAAAAATGAATGTTAGAGTACATATTTGCCGTTATTTGTGTTCATTATTCAGTGAGATGTTGACTCTTAGTTGCCAAACAATTTTTGTTATCAACAAAAGTGGTAAGTGTNCAGGATGTTGACTCTTAGTTGCCAAACAATTTTTGTTATCAACAAAAGTGGTAAGTGTTATTTTATTCAAAATTATCCTATCGTAAAAAAGAGCACTGTCACGGCGGCCTCCACAAATGCGCATTGCGCATGCTCATGGCACAGTGACGCGAAGTGTCATGGCGCACCGGAGAATTTTTGGCGAGTCCACAAGAGACGTTTCATGACGATGCGATGGGGCTATTTAGAACAGCGCGCGAGAATTACAAAGCGGAGTTATAACTTGAATTTAGAAATCACCAATTCCTCAATTGAATTAGCTAGAAAGAGCTCGAAAAAAAGGAATCGATAATTACCGTTTTTCGAACAAAATTCCGAAAATATTTGCAATTTTCAAGATTCCCTTCTTAAGAATGAATAATGGAATGGTTCTCACTTCTAAAAATACAATTATTTTGACATTAAATTTATTTTTGTAAAATTCTGGGAGTAGAGAAAATCTGTTACAATTTAGGAAAAATTATTCTTGGAATGAAATATTCATTATCATTGAATGATTCTAAAAAAAAGGGCTCATGGTCTCCGAAAATCTCGATTTTTCAATCATCTTATTAATTTACACCAAAAAGACGTCTTCCTATTATTTTTCTATATTTTTGAAATGGTTCCCCATAATTATGAGCAAAGAGCAATTTTACTAATGGAGATAATGGAAAAAAGAATTAAAATTTCAGGGATCATTAAGTAGTCATTTTTAGGAGTGTTTTAATTAATTGAAAGGTAAAAGTAAATTCTAGCAATATGAAAATCAAAACTTTCAGGTTACTTGAATTATTATGCAGTACATGAATATCCTATATCTAAGTACTCTGCATTTTTTATTAATGAAGCAATTAGAATTTTCCAATCAATTTAAGTCAGAAGAAAATAGAATCATTCAACTTTCTTAATGTTGCGTTTATTGAGGTTTCCTCCAAACCAAGCTGATTAGAATCAATGGATAGAGTTATGAAATTATCTTACAATTTTAATTGTTAAGTATAGGAGAATCTGAATGCAACACAGTAAAAAATAATAATAATACCCAAATTAAAAAATTCTATTACGAATAAAAAATAGCGATTAAAGACTCCATAATGGCAAAGAGCAAGAATGATTATATTCATATCATATCATCTGAATCATTAAGATGAATTTCACAATTCTCATGAAGATTCACGAAAAAGGATGGAGCAGAAGCCAAACTGTCATTTTCATTTTCAATTTTTAATATACTACTTCAAACATGGAGTGATGCATTACTGAGTGATCTAATGGAAAATGATAACAGTGTTAGCATGTACTTCTACCAGAAGATCAGTAAACATTGAACACCACCAATTTACTCTCTAAATTATGTTTGAGGNACAAAGCGGAGTTATAACTTGAATTTAGAAATCACCAATTCCTCAATTGAATTAGCTAGAAAGAGCTCGAAAAAAAGGAATCGATAATTACCGTTTTTCGAACAAAATTCCGAAAATATTTGCAATTTTCAAGATTCCCTTCTTAAGAATGAATAATGGAATGGTTCTCACTTCTAAAAATACAATTATTTTGACATTAATTTTATTTTTGTAAACNAATATAAAAATTTAGGAGCTAATAAATTAGGACATTTTTTTCATCAGTTGTATTGTTTTTGCAATGAGTATGATTATGAACAATGAATTGAAAATAGAAATGTGCAATGTGATAAAAAAAGGGGTATAAGGAAAGGACTATCGACATAAATATGAGAATGGAACCCTTCAGCTTGACTGAGATAATTCAAAACCGAAACTGTTAAGACTGAACCCTTAATATGAAAATTTTGAAGTTTGTCTAATTTCTGATATAAGCACTCATTGAGAGAAGATTTTTGAACATTAATAACTATTATTTTGAAAAGACGAATAAGGAATGAATTAAAGAAACTTCGAGGAAGTTGGCAGGTTCTTTAAAAAATCAGAATCTTCGGTTTCTATCTGAATGTAACATGATTCGCGGTTTTTTCAATTTAAAGCAATTACGAGGTTTTCGCCTAAAAAAATTGAATTCTCCACGAGTTTTCGAGATTTTGAAAAAATTTTCGGTATCTCTCAAACGGTAAATTATTTGTGAACCAATAAGGAAAGAACAATTGATAGACAAAGGGGGAATTTTTCGAATAAAACTAATATGGAGGAGTCATGTAATCCTAACCATGGCACTCCGATTGATTAATATAAGCAATAAGAACACAATTTGAAAAATTTGATCAATTCCTTGAATTTTCTCAACAATTCCACAAAAATTTTCAAGTTTAGACAAAAATTCAGGATTTCGTGGGATATTTTACAAAATTTCAGAGCATTCATCAAAGTTTAAAGTTTATGCCATCGTCAAATAATAAAATTGTGAAGAAAATCGTGAATGCGAGGAGTAGGTACTCCGAATTTTGAAAAATAATTGAATGCTTTCATAAAGGAGTAAAGAGGAATGAAGGGAAAGAAGGCTAAAAAATTCTGGGTTGTGGGTATTATTATTTTGTACTCTGAATAGAATTTTGATAATATCCATAGTTACAACCTCATTCAGTGAGCACAGGAATTTAGAAATAGTGAATCGCTTATTGAAATATTGGCATCGAAGAAATGATGAACTCAGAAGAATTGCTTACATAGTAATCTTAATACTCAGTATAATAAGAAAATGATGAATCATTAATTTTTGAAAGAAATACAAAGAATGTAAAAAATTCACAAGTCTCTGTATTGTTGATACAGGTGTACTTTTACGTGGATACGTCTATGGTTTTTGTTTTTCTCTCATGAACTTCATAGTTTTTTCTCATACATATTTATTTGAATAAGCATATATGTACAGTTACATGTTTTACATGTTTTAATATCAGTTTATTGAATATTGGCCGATGAAACGAAGGATATGATGTGATTCCGCTAAGGCTTATACTCAATTCCACAAGATACCTCATAACGAAAACATAGACGTGTCCACGCCAAGATGAGAAAAGGAATAATGACAGTGCATCAACATCGCAGCCTTGGCGGCGTTATTCAATAGATAACAAAGAAATTTGCGATACGATTTTAGAGAAAATAGAGAATGGAAACAAGAATCTGTTGGAATCGATTTTCATCGGATCTCACCATTTAGGAAATAAACTACACATCTTTAATTTGAGAAAACAACAAGAAGATTTCAATTTCTTGCTATCCCAACTGAATTTGAATATAAATTGGTGAAATGAATCGATGAAATCATCAGAATCTATTAAGTAAGGTTTTGAAAAATTCATCAGTTTGAGAGTGATTCTAACGTCCATGGCACCCTTCATTCCACATTACATTCATATTCAAATGAACAAAGCGCATTTTCATGATCATTTTCATGAGCAATAGCATCAACGTCGCGGCCGCTTGCGGCCGCGACGGTGTTAGTATAATTAAAAAATATGCATTTATCGGAAAATATGAGAATCACTATATGAGACTTTTTGAGGGGACTTATTGCAGAAAAATGGACAAAGCGAACAGAGATTGATAACTATTCACTTCGTTCTAAGAACAAATTAGTCTGTTTGGAAAGGAAATGATTAAACGTTGTGATGATTTAGAAAACATTTAGTCTATAAAATATATTTTCCGTGACTTTCCATAATTTTTTTCGTTTATCGTTGCCGATTATTTTTCCAACAAATACTTTTTGAAAATAGTATATTGTGCACCTAGGGCGGAAAGTCATGTTTTCCCGCCCGGGGTGCACATACGATTTTTCCGTACATCTGCGAAGGGAAGTTGGTATTTTGCTTCCTGAGGAGCGGGAGGAAAGCGAGTACTTTCCACCCGAGGATGGAAAGTTGCTCCCGAGGGTAGAAAGTACTGGCTTTCCGCCCTTGGGCGGAAAGTAATCAGTACTTTCTGCCCAAGGGAGCAACTTTCCACCTTAGGGCGGAAAGTGCTCACTTTCCTCCCGCTCATCAGGGAGGAAAGTTACAACTTTCCGTGCAGGTGTGGGGAAAATGCTGTTTACGGTTCTGTCAAAGGTTCATAACTAAGGACGTCTGTATTTTATGGGAAAATACTGGAATAGTTTTCCAATGGGAAGAGGCGAATTGTCTTGGAAAATGACATCGATTTCAGAAAAATGAATAATTGCTGATATTTTATTCTCAACAAATTATATTTAATTGTTTTCAACAATGGTACAGGCACCCTAAAAATTTAGAAAAAATATATTCAATAGACTATGATTGGATCGACTTCCGCTAATTGTTTTTTTTTTTCATTTTGCAACTAAGTTTCAGTCAGTGTCACCTCTGCGCAATTGTTGAACAATTGAATATTTCCGAAACGTACCGGCAAAATGAAACAAAACGAAAAAAATAAAGCTTATTTGAATTGTAGTCTATAAGATATATTCTTTGAGGATTTTTTTTGTATGATGATCAATTTTTCCGAACTGGATTCCGTTTTCTTTTATAATATGCCTTTTCCCCGCAAAGGACTATTCTTGCGTTTATTTACTAAAATGCATGTTTCTCAAGTTCTGAAATTTGGGGAATGGTAATCATCTTTTTGATTGATTAATAAATGATTGTTGAAGTGCCGATCAGGAACGACGAGCAAAAAAATCACTGAAAATCAAGTAAACACAATTCCAACATGGATTTTTTGCAAGACTTTCTAAGTAGGAATCATGTTATTTTTCAACCATATGATTGGTTAATAAGAAAAAGTGGATTCATTTTTCTATATATAATTTACAGTTGAATAACGATTATGACTTTTGTAATAAACAAAAGAATTATCTAACAACTACGAGTAAATAGAATCATATGATTTATTGTTTGATACCACGTGTAATACAAGAATAATAGAAATCTACTGTCACATGTTTCTTTTCTCGTGAAATATATGATTCAAACTACATCAACTTTTTCCTTGGTCGGAAGTTACGAAATAATTATAAAATTAATCATAGTGGTCATAATTAGGGCCGAAGACTTCATTCTCTGAAAAGTCTGGTAACAAAGTTGGTAGGCAACGTACACTGCCTACGTGTGGCCGATGGATTGCCAGCGTATGTTGCCTAGCAACTTTGTTACCAGATTTTTTGGAGAAAGATGTCTCCGGCCCTAGTCATAACAATCATTATGGAGTAAAGCATGACAGTCACAATGGGAAAAACAGTAATAACGATGACACTAACAACTAAGATAAAAATTAACATTATTGGAATTTTCAAAAATCGGAAAAACGTACTGTACGCCTACAAATAGGAGAAAAGAGTCCCCCGTCAGTTTCAATTCTCTGAGTGATTACCTCAGCAAAACTCATTCCAGATTCAGTGGGAGTACTCGCGTTTGAAGATCCAGAGGATGGACTATTATCACTCTCAGTTGCTCTCCGTTGACGTCGATGGCTTGACTTGCTAGCAGATACTGGAAGTCTTTTGGTGTTTTGATGATTACATCGGACAATCATGATATCGTTCAGGATCTGTCCCGTGAGATTCTCTCTTAATGATGAATATATGAATCGTACACCTGAGAACAAGCGTTCTACGCTTACTTGCGTTGCTGGCGCAGCGTGAACTACAGTGGCCAGCTTATATAATTCTGGCATCAGATTCTTTTTGGTTTCCCAGTATTGGAGAATGTTGGCCTTTCAATCCAGACTTTAAAATTATTAATGAATAAAGAAGAGAAAATTGCGTTAAAATTAAGAGGTTTTTATTATTAATACTACAGTGACATTTCGTTTTCATCCTGATGGATTATTATTAATAACTGCAGTGAATAACTGCAGTGATATTTCGTTGTCTTCCTGGTGGAAATTATGTAAATAGATTTCTTTCAACATAAATCCTTTGACGTATATAATAAAAAAGTACAGTAAAACAATAAATAATCTTGATGTTATCGAGTTTTATATGTGTTTACATACATCCGTTAGCTTCTTTTTCAGTTGGAAAAAGAAGTCGGTAGTCGTGAACTACGTAAAGAGAAGAGAAAAGAAAAGGGAAAAAAATTACTCGTGAATCGTAGAGTAGAATTGCCTACTTTATTAAACGTTCAAATATTTCTCCAATTCTCCAACATCAAAACGAGATTTGATTCATTTATATCGCATCACTTGGTTAGACGATTTTTTTGACAATTAAACATGATTTGCTTCATTTCATTTTCTACAGCTTTTTTTTCCCCTATGAGAAAGACAAGGACAGAGACGAAAATTAGCTGCAATTGATGTTGTTAGAAATCAATTGTTCTTAAATATTGGAAAAATATTTTTCCATTGAATAAAACATATTCTCATGTGATTTTTATTCTTCTCCTTTTTTCAGACCGGGTTTGAAGCAAATACGTGAAGGAGGTGTCGAGTTTATCTTGTTATCAACCCACCGGAGAGTTTTCCTTTGCTGGCGGAATAATCAATTTGTATCGATGAATGTGGTGATTTATTGAAGAAATTGATGATATTGATGGGATAATTATGATGATGATGTTGATGATAATAATAATGATGATGGTGATGATTTGTCGATGAGAAAGATGACTTTGATTTTTGATTTTATGAATTATTTATGATTTGATGATATACTAATTGATACAATGAATGATAAATTGGAAATGATGGAAATATTGCGATGTATGTCCATAAAAGTTTTATATGAGTGAGATCAAATTACAGAGATTTTAATTGGTTTTGAATGTACGAGAATTTGAATTGAATTTGAATTTGTGCGAAACAAATCTAATCAATCGAGTTACTTCAGAGTGCAGCTGACTTCCGATGATAGCATGAAATTTCCAGATTTGAAAATTCGAATGCATTATATGACCTGTCATATGATAGTCATGTCATCCTCTTCTTGCGGTTCGGATTTTTTTTTTCTAAATTTTAACTCTTTTTGAATTTTTATATTTTATGGTAAACGAAAATAGCTTCTTAATGTTTTTCTATGGTATTTGTAATCAGACAGATTCTCAGCGCGCGTTATGGATCCTCATGATTAAAAGAGCAAGGCTTTTGTCTTTTGTTTTCGATTTTCATCTATCGAGAAAAAGTGAATCGATTTTATTCTTCGATATGATAATCGATTTATGTATTAATCGATCTCTCTTATGATTAAAAGAGCAAGGCTTTGTTATCATTTGTTTTTGATTTTCAGCTATCGAGACGAGAAAAAAGGGATTCGATTTGTTTCTTTGATGGGTATGATAATCTATTGCGCATTTCGATTGCGTACGTATTAACCGATTGTGATCTGATCACATAATTTTCCTTTTCATAAAAAAATCGAGACAGCTGAGGAAGCAAGCAGAACGCAGTGAGCATATGATCGTGAGCATGTCACTGAGTGATGTTTCAATGCTTTCTTCGCTATCAATAAATTGATGGTATGCTTCCGAATGGTTTCAGCATAATAAATTTTTCTCTCTCGCATATTTCTCCCCATTTTTGCTATTTGCATCTTTTTCGCCCCCCATCGAAACTCTTTCCAACCTCCTGTATTGCATTTGGTAAAGGTTGGAGGATACCCTAAGCTAGGGGAAAACCTGACCAGATAAAGGCGTCCTTTCCGTTACTCGTTATTGCGAGTATTTTTTCCAACGTCAAATTGGTATGCATACACGCATGAAAAAATTCAATAGAAAACCTAGCGAATTCGCTAGAAA